CTCTGCTCACTTTTTCATCTCTCCCCTTCTTCGCTCCCCTCCGCTTCCCTCCAATCCTTGAGGTTGTCATCGCCGGCAGCAGGACGGGGCGCTCGCGGGCTCGCACAAGAGGTTTCCGACAAGGTTCTCCTGACAAGGTGTGTACACGTACGGTAGGTTCGCGTTGTGTCGACCGGCGGCGACCCCGCCAGCGTCGTTCAACGCTGATCGCCGCGGGCGACCCAGAATCGTTCGATGTGGAACGATTTGGACGTTCGCTCAACGCTGAACGCCGCGGGCGACCCAGAATCGTTCGATGTGGAACGATTTGCACGTTTCGGAAACGCCCGATTGTTCAAGGTTGAACGATCCACGAGGTGTCAGGAACCAACGCCAGGGTCGACACGACGCGAACCTGCCGTACGGGGCTCCTGCTCGTCTGTTGCGCTCCTGCGTAGGTGCTGGCCAGCTCCCGCCTGGGAGTGTGGGCCGCGGCCGACAGATTCAGACGCTGCTCTCGCGCCAGCTCTGTTCGGGCTCCAGGCTCGGATTGCTGCTCTCGCACTATCAGGAGGGAAGGAAACACACAGACACAATTAATCGTCGACCCCCCGGCAAATATAGGAAAATATGGGAAGTGGGGAGGATGACGAAAACTCAGAAAATATGTGAAAATGTGGGGAATCTTGGGATTTGTGTGTATTTATTTGTGTGTCCCTGGGTTCCTTTACATTAGCGCTGGACACATCGAAAAATGTAAGCAACATAGCGACAGTTGGAAATGGAAGCGTATCGGCATCTCCCTCTCGCTCTCTCATAAGCTCTCTCTGTGCATAACCTACATCTGTGTATATATATATATATATGTGTCTATTCCCCAAGCATTTGCTTGCACGCATGAGGGGTTCTTATTTTTCTTCTAAGGAACTGAGCCTGAATGGCGATCAGGCGGCCATGTGGCCGCCGTCGCCGCCCCGTCGCCGCCTCGTCCCCGCCCGACGTCTGGGCCTGAAGGGCGATCTGGCGGCTATGTGGCCGCCGTCGCCGCCCCGTCGCCGCCTCGTCATGTATTGCACAACCTAGATTGCAGCACATAGAGTGTACAATGTTAGCCAGCGTGTGTCATAAGCATTGTGTTTCTAGCAATCTGTGTGGTGTTATCTATGTGGTGCTGTCTATGTGGAGCAATCGACATGATGCGTTCTAGGCTGAGCAATCTATGTTGTGTAATCTCTGTGGTGCAACCTGTGTTGTGCAATCTGTATGGTGCAACCTATGTAGTGCAACATGTGCTGCAATGTATGTGATGCAATCGATGTGGTGCAATCTATGTTGTGTAACCTGTGTAGTGTCATCTATGTGGTGTCATCTAGGTGGTGCGACCTATGTGGTGCAATCAATCACTTGCTCAACTTGAGGCTGTCCTTTCCACTGCTCGTGCAAACATCCCACCCTCCCACCCGCAACTTGGTCGCAAAACCTCTTAAGACCGTGGCGGTGGTTACCAAATGGCACTTGGCAACGACACCGACGCCGACGACGACAGCGACAACGATGACGACGACGCCGCCGACAAGGACTACGACGACACCGACGACGTCTCCAACCACTTCGACGACGACGACGACACCGACGACGACGACGACGATGACAACGCCGACGACGACGACGAAGCCGACGACGACGACGCAGACGACGACGACGACGACGACCAAGACGACGACGACGTCCCCAACGAAGACGACGACGACGAGGGAGAAGGGGGGACGACGACGGCGGCAACGACAACGACGAGGGAGGAGGGAGGACGGCGACGACGCGAACGAAGAAGAAGGAGGGAGGACGGCGACGCCGACGACGACAACTACGAGGGAGGAGGGAAGACGACGACGACGACGACGACGGCGACGAAATAGGAGGGACAACAACGAAACGCCGACGAAGACGACGAGGGAGGAAGGACGACCACGGCGACAACGACGACGGAAACGACGACGACGAGAAGACGACGACGACAAGGAAAGACAGAGGACGACGACGACGGCGGCGACGACGACGACGAGGCAGGAGTGAGGACGGCGATGACGACGACGACGACGACGACGCAAGAGCGCGCGCGCACGCTTTTGTTGAACATTAGTGTTGCGAAACCCTGTGTTGTTGTATGTTTTTTGGACACTCGATTTTGAAATCCTTCCGACACCGCAGGTTTTTGAAGGATTTCGGCATGCGCGCGCGACGACGCGCGCGTGCGCACTTCGTCCATTTTTTTGCAGAGGCTTCTCGCGACGGCACGCGCGCAAGGGCGTTCGAAAGATTTCGACATGCGCGCGCGAAGCCCGTTTGGTAGTTTTTTGTTGAAAAAACTTGAAAACCGTATGGTTTTCGTAAGATTTCGCAAGAGCGCGCGCGTGAGCCTTTTTAGAACATCAGTGTTGCGAAACCCTGTGCTTTGGTATGTTTTCGGGAAGCTTGATTTTGAAGTCTTTCCGAATTGAAGGTTTCTCACGGATTTCGACATGCGCGCGACGACGCGCGCGTGTGCACTTCGTCCCCGTTTTTGCAAGGGATTCTTGCAAACTTCTGGTTTTTGATAAACGAGTGTGCGCGCATATTTTTGTTGCAGAGGATGGCGGGGGTAACCGGTACCGATCTGGCTGGGATAGTATTAATTCACAGGTAGGAAGGATATTGGGTCAGAGTCCTGTGTTTTACATTGGTTCCCTGGGGGTCTTTAACCCCGGGGGGGGAGGGTGGCAGAACATATTTTTCCCTACCTAGGCTCTGCCTAGAAGGGTTCGTACTTCATAAGCTTAAAGGGGCCGGGCAGTGTAACCCTCCCCGGGCGGTTCCCCCGGCATCCGCCCCGCGGTTCCCCCAGTTGCGTCCCCTTAGCTTAGCGTTGCTTATCTCATCTTAGCTTAGCTTATTTCATCTTAGCTTAGCTTAGCTTCATCTTAGCTCAGGTTTATCTTAGCTTAGCTTACCTTCATCTTAGCTTCGCTGAGCTTTAGCATAGCAGAGCACAGCACAGCATAGCATAGCATAGCGCAGCATATCATAGCATAGCATAGCATATCAAATCATACTATAGCATAGCATAGCGCAGCGTATCATAGCATAGCATAGCATAGCGCAGCATATCATAGCATAGCATATCATAACATACCATAGCGCAGCATAGCATAGCATAGCATAGCGCATCATATCATATCATATCATAGCCTAGCATAACATAGCGCAGCCTAGCATACCCTAGCATAGCATAGCATGCCATATCATAACGCAGCATAGCGCAGCATAGCATAGCATAGCATAGCATAGCATAGCATATCATCGCATATCATACCATAGCGCATCATAACACAGCATATCGTAACATGCAGGTGTATATGTTAATGTAGCTGTCGGTGTAGATGTAGCTGTTGCTTTTCTAGATGCTCCAACTCCTAGGTAGGGTCGCACTGGTATATTTTAAGTAAGAAAGGACACATCATGTGGTGCAACCTAAGTTGCACAACATATGTGATGCAATCAAGGTTGCTTCATGCCTGCAGTGCAATCTAGGTTGTGCATTCTATGTGGTGCAACCAATGTGGTGCAACCTATGTTATGCAAACTATGTAGTGCAGTTTAGGTGTTGCATTCTATGTTGTGCAATCTATTTGGTGCAGTCTATGCTGTGAAACCTAGGTTGTGCAATCTAGGTGCCAGCGTTGTGCAATTTATGTGGTGCAATCCAACTGGAGCAGCTCCTCTGGTGCAGTACATGTGGCGCTACGTGTCGATGTGGTGCGATATATGTGGTGCAATACATGTGATGTTTTTCACCCGCACGACCTTGAAGCTGACAACTCCATTGCTCGCGCAATTACCCCGCCCACACACCCGCAACTTGGTTTACAAAACCCATGCGGCTGCGATTGCGATGACTGCTTGGCGCTAGTTGGTGCATCACTGCGGCGGCGCTAGCGCGCTCAGGCTCGCGCGCAGAGCGGCAAGCTAGTCTGGCGGACCGATGCGGCCCTGGTGGTGCTGACCGCTGGGGCCTTCCCAGCGCGTCGCGCTGGCCGCGTTGACGCGCGGGCACTCCAGTGCGAGTCGGTGACTCGGGCGGGCGCGGTACCATAGCGACGTAGACAACGGCAGGCACGATGATGATCGTAGCGTTGCTGGTGACGACGGTGACGATGACGACGGCAAGCCCACTGACGGCGCCGATGCTACGCAGATGACGATTCTGGTGTCCACGTTTCGACGCTGAAGGTTTTGGAGGAATTTCGACATGCGCGCGCGGCCGTCGCGCGCGAGAGACCCGCATGATGCTAGTTGACAGTGGTCGTGCCCCCTTAGCGCGCGACGCCGCGTTCGTGTGGACTTGTTTGATTGTTTGCGGCATGGGGGTTCTCACACATGGATGATTTGTGATAAACGGGCTGTGGAAGAATTTGGGCAACTATCTGGCATGCGTGTCAACATCGAGAAACCAGCTGGCATCCCACTGGGCGGAGACGCGCATGCCGACGTGCAGGCCTTGATCGCGCGAGCTGTGTCAGACTGGGCTGCTCTGTCGCTTCGTCAGGGCGCCACCTACCTGGAGTGCCTTGTCGGCCTGGGCAAAGTTGGCAAGGTCTGGGACCGCGCGGCGGCCATGTTTCGGGACCGAGTGTCGTTCTGGCAATGGTCATCGCTTGGGCTCCACTTCGCCACCTTAGTGTGCAATGTCTACGCCCTCGCGTTGTTGAGCTTCACCGCCCAGACCGCGGACTTGGATTGCGGCGTCCAGTAGGTGGAGGAGTGGGCTGTGTGTCGTGCTGCTCCAGGCCTTGGGAAGTGGGCGATGGCGGACGACCTGTTCAACCTTGACGCGCTTGCCGGGATACCGTGCGCTTTTGGAAAGTTGGCGGTGCTCGCGCCAGCAGCGCAGCTCTGCGTGGCCATGTACGGGGCCCACGGCCTCGGACGTGGAGGGCTTCACAGAGTAGTGCGACATATTCGCGAAGCCTGGTCGCAGTCGGACTATGCGCAGCGAGTTGCCAGATGGTCAAGTTGGTTGCGCTGCCCTTTCTCCGCTCGTCCTGGAACGCACCGACGACCGCCTTCGAGGCCTGGGCCCCCGCAGCGTGGATATTGCTGCCACCCTGGCGGGCGTGCCCAGGGAGTCTTTGGCCGCCGACCATTGGCAGGCCGTGCGGCACCGATTCCACGGGGCAGTACGGGCGCATCTCCGGCGGCAAGACACGCTGGCCATGGACATGCGCTTGCGGCGCATGCTGCAGCTGGTTCGATGCTCCCTGCCGCGTCGCTCCCCGCGGGTCGTTGCCTGCAGGTTCGTAAACCGTGTTCAGACGTTGCGGAACCTCGTGCCGCCAGGGGTGCGTGCAGTTGTGCTTCGCACTGCGTGGAACTGGTGGTGCACAGCACGGCGAGTTCAAAAAATCGACGTTCCTCGCAATGTCTGCATCCTTGGGTGCGGCGGGGCGCCGCAGGACAGCGTGGAACACTAGTCGAGGTGCAGGGTCATTCAGCGTGTCCACGCCACGATGTTGAACCTCACGGACGAGTGGTTCCTACCATGGTGGGTTGGTGTCCACGACGACCAGAGGAACGAACGACTGTTCGCCGTGGGCACCCTTGGGACTAATCCGGCACACGCCAGCAGGGTGGTTCTGGCGCGACCAGCACAGTACGACGGTGAACGGCCATGTGTGTACAGTTGCCCCCTGCCCCCTTCCGCCGCCCTCCTTCTCCGCCTCCTCTTCCTCCGTCCCTCCCCTTCTGCCGCCGCACACTTCGTCGCGATGTGGTGCAAGCTCTCGTTTCCCCTGTCCCGCCCGCGTGGCCGATGGATTTTGGGACGCTGCGCCCAGCAGCCGATTCGAGCTGCCCTTTCCCCTCGTCTATTTTCTCCCGCTCCCGCCTCCTGGATTTTCTTGGCTCTTCTACTCTCCCTCCCCGATTGTATTTGAACATATTTGGGGTCCCAACTTGCCTGTTACATTGTTCGTTCGCACGCTTGGCGTAGCTCCTCTGTCTAGGCATGAGGCTTTGCCTTTGCTCCGCCGCAGCTTTCCGCTCGTGTGGGTCCTCTGTGCGGCTACCTTCTCCGGCGCTGGCCGTGGATATCGGTCTACGCACGCACTAGTTTTATTCTACAGCTTATCTGCAGCTGTCTGAGATTGTTGCCCGTAGGTTTGATATTTACTTGCAGACATCAGATGTTGTGTTGAACGAGACTGGTTTGATGTTGCCAGAACCGACATCAGGGAAACACTTACAGGCGAATTTGTGAACAGATAGTGTGGCATTATGTTTCGTAGTTCCGTTCGATTTCTCTCGCTCGCGTTTCTTTCGTCGTTTTCTCTTGTCGCTCGTGTCGCCCTCCCTTTTTCCCTCGGCTTCGGTTCTCGTCATCCTCGCTTGTCGTGCGTCCGTCTCTCCCATCGTGCGTCGTCCTTTCCCCTCCCCCACGGCATCGTAGTGCCATGCCGCCGCCGACCAGCACAGAGACCGCCGCCGCTCGTACCGGTTCCGTGACACATGCATGCGCCTTGCTATGCGAGTCCAGGGTTTTTGCATTGGGCCTGGCAGGCTGTGTGAGGAGTGCATGTGGAGAAACAAATGTGATATGCGAGTGTGCGCGCATAGTTTTTCATATGACGAGAATGGCGGGGGGATCGATGCAGGCCTGGCTGGGAGGGTCTGAGTTCACATTTCGAATGAGCGAGGGGACAGGATCTATTGTACATTGCATCATCCCGGGGGTACTGATAACCCCATGGAAGATGCATAGATCCTGGTTCCTCTGTCAGACAGGAGAATGTATGCGGTGCATTATCTGTGGTGCAACTTATGTTGTGCAATTAATCTTGACCGTCTTGAAGCTGTCCACTCCACTGCTCGCGCAAACATCCCACCCACCCACCCGCAACTTGGCTTGCAAAATCTCTTAAGACCGTGACGGTGGGTACCACACGGCACTTGGCAACAACAGCGACGTCGACGACGACAGCGACAACGACGATGACGACGCCGCCGACAACGACTACGACGACAGCGACGACGTCTCCAACGACTTCGACGACGCCGACACCGACGACGACGACGACACCGACGACGACGACGACGACACCGACACCGACGACGACGACGATGACAACGACGACGACGATGACGACGCTGACGACGACAACGACGACACCGACGACGACGACGACGTCAACGACGCCGACGACGACGACGACGACGGCGGCGACGACGACGACGCCGACGTCGACGACGACGAAGACGACAACGACGCCGACGCCGACGACGACGACGAAGACGACGACGACGTCGCCAACGAAGACAACGAGGAAGGAGGGAGGACGACGACGGCGACAACGACGACAACGACGAGGGAGGAGGGAGGACGGCGACGACGCGAACGACGAAGAAGGAGGAAGGACGGCGACGCCGACGACGGCAACGACGAGGGAGGAGGGAAGACGACGACGACGACAACGACGACAACGACGACGACGACGACGGCGACGAAATAGGAGGGACGACGACGAGACGCCGACGACGGACGACGACTACGACGAGGGAGGAGGAGGAAGGACGACCGCGGCGACAACGACGACGGAAACGACCACGACGCCAAAGAGGACGACGACGACGAACACGAGGAAAGACAGTGGACGACGTAGGCGACGACGACGACGACAACGACGCGGGAGGAGGGAGGACGGCGACGACGACGACGACGCAAGAGCGCGCGCGCACGCTTTTGTTGAAAATCCGTGTTGCGAAACCTTGTGTTTTTGTAGGTTTGCTGGACACACGATTTTGAAATCCTTCCGAAACCGATGGGTTTTGAAGGTTTTCGGCGTGCGCGCGCGACGACGCGCGCGTCTGCACTTCGTCCTTTTTTTTGCAGGGGATTCTCGCGACGGCACACGCGCAAGGGCGTTCGACCGATTTCGACATGAGCGCGCGCGAAGCCCGTTTGGTAGCATTTCGTGGAAATCTTGAAAAACCTATGGTTGTCTTAAGATTTCGCAAGAGCTTTCGCGGAAGCGTTTTTTAGCAACTCTGTGTTGCGAAACCCTGTCTTTTTGTATGTGTTTTGGAAACTCGATTGCGAAATCCTTCCGGCACCGAGGGTTTTTGAAGGATTTCGGCATGCGCGCGCGACGACGCGCGCGTGTGCACTTCGTCCCGTTTTTTTGCAAGGGATTCGTGAAACAGTGTTATGTTAAAACAGCAAATGTCACCGCATAGTGTTTTTCACAAGGGAACCTCAGGGGGGGAACCCGGCCTAGCTGGGATGATATGATTTCATATTTAGGATGGACGAGTGTGCATAATATATATATATATATATATATATAGTTATATTATCCCAGGGGGAAGCGTTAAGTCCGGGGGGGGGGGTAGAGCCTTTTTTTTCTTTTTAGAAAGGAGAGTCCATGTTGCTTGTGCAACATATGTAGTGCAATTAAAGTTGTACTGTTTACTTGGCGTAGCCTATGTGGCGCACTTGATTTCGATTATCTCGCGCGTGACCACCCCCCATGCTCGCGCAATCATCCCACCCACCCACCCGCAACTTGGTTCGCAAAACCCATGCGGCGGCGATTGCGCTGGCAACATGGCGCTGGCTGGTGCGCCGTTGCGCCCGCGCTAGCCCGCGCGTTCTTGTGCGCGCGCCGGCCAGCTAGTTTGCCGCGACCGACGCGACCGACGTAGCGCTGACCGCTGGGTACTTCCCAGGGCGCGTCGCAGGCCGCTCTGACGCGTGGGCACTTCAGTGTGAGTCCATGATTGTGGCGGTTGCGGTACCATGGCGACGTCGGCAATGGCAGGGACGATGCTGATCGTAGCGATAGCGGTGGTGATGATGATAGCGACGGTGGCGAGGCCAATGACGGTGTCGATGCTGATCGTGCCAAAGACGACAAGGGTGTCCTCGCGTCGGTGATGAAGGATGTGGAAAGATTTCGACGTGCGCGCGCGGCCAGCGCGCGCGAGTGGCCCGAATTATGTTATTTGAAAGGGATCATGCCCCCCCCCCACCCACGCTCGCGCGCAAAGGCGTTCGAATGATTGCGACCTGCGCGCGCGAGAGGCCTGCTTGGTCGAATGTGATGAACATGTTGGGGGCTTCTGGTTTTCTTGACTATCAGCTGTTGCGCGCGCAAACCTATTTTCGAACACCCGTGCTGCAAAACAATTTGCTTTTTGTTTTTAGTACGTTTTGGGGGCGCTCGATTTGGGATCCGCACGACCCCGCTTCCCAGGTGTCTGAAGGATTGCGGTATGGGCGCGCGACGACGCGCGCGCGTGCACTTCGTCCCGCTTCTCTGCAAGGGGTTATAGCAGTTGGGTTTTTGATGAGCGAGTCTGGCCGCGTGTTTTTCTGCTGCAGCGGATCAACCTTGCGGACCTGGTGCAGACGCATGACTTGGCCTTGCTCGAGGGATGGCGGAGCCGTGTGCTACGATATTGGCAGTCTGCAGCAGCCTTGGCGAGATCTGAGTGCTCAAGGGGCCTTATTGCGATCCCGATGTGTCTCGAGACGACCACGCTTGCGATCATTTTTTGGCTCGCGCGTACTGGTGTCAAATGATTTTTTCGGCTGACGCCGCTCAGCTCCGCGCGGCGTTTGTTTTTTTTCGTGCCCGAGAAGTCTTGGTCATTGCGGATTATCTTAGGCACTCGCGCGTTCATTTTTCTCAGACTTTCCATCTGCGCGATTGCCGTCGGCTGCGTCGTTCGGGGCCATCGGGGCGCCGAGAGATGGGGTGTGCTTATCTTCGCGCGACCTCGGGTGCGCAATCTACCGCGTGCGACTCCCTGGCAGCGTGGAGACAGTGTTCAGGATGCCCTCAGTGCGCACTGGTGTATTCCAGGAGGCCTTCCTGACCTCGACTTCGACCCGGTTGCCGTGGTCTACCCGCAGCTCGGGGCCCTCCCGGTGGGCTTCTGGTGGGCGCTCCATCCAGTCTGCAGCCCGCGCCGTGCTCGTCCGCGAGGAGCGCGAGCGGGCGATGGCTGCTATGGGCGGTTAGTCTGGCGTTTCGTCGCCGATGGCAGGTCCATGGGCGTCGCCGCCTACGTGGGCAACATTGTGGCCATCGTCGCCGCCGGCGAAGCAGTGGGCTGGGCCGCGGCGTCGCTGGTCGCGGGGTTCCGTGCCGGAGGCTTCCCTGCGCGCGAGGTCGAGCCCGCTGCCCTCGACGTCGAGTCTCTGGGCTTGTCGTCGAGGCACGGGGCGGTCGTCCGCATCGAGCCTCGCGTCGCGTGGAGGCTCCGCGCCGCCGTATCAGAGCTTCGGAGGCGCGGGTGGTGCTCTGGGGCCATGCGGAGAGCGCTGCTTGTTCGCATCGCGTGGACTTCGATGATGCGCTGCGAGATGCCCGCCGCGCCGCGCAGCTCGCGCGGTCTCGCAGCGGCCCGCGGTGAGGCGCAGGCTCTGACATGGAAGTCGATCGGCGAGGAGCTCGCCACCATGGGAGACCTGCTTCGCGTCTTAACCTGTGACTTGTCGGCGGTCTGACACAGTGCTTTCGCGGTCAGTGACGCCTCGCCGTTCGGCCTTGGAGTGCGTCGTCGTGCTCCATTCGCCGCCGGCGCAGCGATTGGCCGCAGCTCAGAGCGGCGGCGCTGCAAGGTTGACGGCGGGCACCAGGCCCGCATTCGCCCGCTTCGTGTAGCAGGCGGTGGTTGGCACTGACGGCCCTGCTGCCGATTGCGTGGCTGCGAAAAGTGGTCATCAGCAGCAGCATTCCGATCTGCGTCCTGGTCCTGGCCTCGGCCCTGCGGGCCCGCCTCCGACGGGCCATCCAAGTGCGGCCCCTGGGGCCGGCGTCGAGGTCTCCATGTGGCTCGACTGGGGCCTGCAGATCTTCGAGGGCTTCCGTTTGTGCCAGGACCAGGCCACCTAGGGTGGCGACTGGGAGCTCGACGAGGTGCCCGCGCATTCAACCAGGAGTCTTTGTGGCGAGGGGCCTCGGCTCAGTCGATCACTCAGGGGGCGAGCATCTCGTGCCTGGAGGGGGAGGCGCTCGTCGCATCTAATGGGCATCAGTTCCGAAACGGGTCGGCTCGCGGGGGGCGCCGTGTCGCGCTCGTCGACGACCTTCCTCTTGCGCTGGCCTGCGCCAAGGTGAGAGCTCGGTCGGGCCGCCTCTGGTCCTGCGCCCGAGATTATGCGTTCGGTGGATCGCCTCGGAGACGGCGGACCTCCTCAGCCGCGGGAAGCGTGGCTAGTTCAGCGGCTGCCGGCTTTCCAGCGATGCCCGCGTTCGGCGTGCTCGCCGCCCTCGTTGCCGCCGCGCTCGGGCACCTCGTCTGCTCGCTTTCGGCGATGCCTCGGCGCGTCGCGCCGACCCAGTTTTCGAGGGCGCGGGCTCGGGCGCAGCTTGCGGCCTCCACGGCGGCGGCAGGCAGGGCGGCCTCGGGCTCCCAGGCGCTGTTGGAGCAGCTGGTCGCGCGGCCGCCCGCCGAGACTTTCCGCCGCGCGATTCTGCTGTCGTTCGCGACCTATTGCATCGAGTGCCGCTGGGATTGAAGCAGTTCGGACCAGCTGGACCCCTTGCTGGCGGAGCGCTTCGCCCGCCTGCGTCGGGGTTGAGCTGCGGCCGGCATCGGGCCGCAGACTGTCGCAGCGCTGGCGCGCTTCACCCCAGACCTGCCGCGGCGGGTCAGCTCGTGGCTGCCGAGGGCCCCATGGGCCATGCAGGCTTGGCGACGGCGGACACCTGCGCTCGCGCGTCTGCCGATCCCGCGGGCGGTGATGTTCGCCTTGGCGGGGGCCATGGTGGCGTGGCAACAGGCGCCCGTGGCCGCGTGGCTGGCGATCGCGTTCGCGGCCTACCTGCGACCTGCGGAGACACGGAGGCTCGCGATCGACAGCATTGTTCAGCCGTCTGCGATGGCAGGTGCAGCCTGCCAGCTCTGAGGCTCGCTGCAATGCCTGGCGGATCTAGCCCAGTTTGGGGGGACTTGCTCCTTCGACGAGTCGATCTTCTTCGACCTCGACATGCGCCGGGTTCTGGTGCTCATCGCGCTCAGGTCGCGGGGTGGCCCCGGCGCGCCGCCGCGGGACTTCGCGCTGACGTGCTCCAGCGAGACGTTTGGCATGGCGGCGGATGCCCTCGGCATCTTTCAGCTTCGCAACCACCTCTGCGGGATGAGGTGCGGCGGGGCAAGCGACGCCCTCCCGGCCCAGAGGAGGGCGCAGGAGCAGGTGTTTCGCCGCGGCCGCTGGGCTGCGCCGTCGTCCACGCGGCGGTGCGCTACGGAGACGGCCCTCTTGCGCGAGCTCGAGGGGGCGCGCCCGGGCGTCTGCGCGCTGGGCGACCTCGTCGGGCGGAGCTTCTGCCTGGTCCTCGAGAAGGGCTTGGCGGGCGCGAGGTCGATGCGGCAGGTGCCGGCGAAGTTCGCGGCGACCGCCGTGGCAGGCTCCCCGGTTGGCCTTGGCAGGACACGGAGACGCCCCGCGGCCAGCGGTTGAAGCGGGCTCTTGACCGGCGAGTGCGCGATCACCTGAGGCGCCGCTTCAGATCGGCAGTCGGGCGCGGCGCCCTCGCCCACCGACGCGTCGTGTTCTTGAATTATTTTGCGGCTCGGCGCGTGTCGTAGCGGCCGCGAAGGCGGCCCGGGCTGTCGGCGCTCGGGCTGGGCCTCTCCCAGTCTGCTCTCGAGGATCGCGTCTCTCACGCTTTTGAAGAGGTGATCGCTGGATAGCTGCTCGGCCGCGCCGTCTCAGCCGTGTGTCTGGGCGCTCCGCGTGCCGCGTGGTCCTGGGGGCTCCGATAGCCCTTGCGGCCGCGTGTCTGGCCGATGGGTTTAGCCGGGCCCTCCACCTCAGAGGCCGCCGGGCGTCGCGCGGGCAGCGCCGCCTTCCGCGTCGTTCGCTCACTCAGTGAGCTCGACATGCCAGTGATCGTAGAAATCCCGCCCAGCTGCTTAATCTGGCATGTCAGGGCCCTCTCTGGTTAGATCGAGTCATGCAATGCATGCGCGCGATCGCAATCCGTGCAATCTTAGCACTCCTCGGCAGAAGCGCGCCCGATTCGCAGCTTGGTGCGCTGGCTCACTTGACTGTGTCGCTCGGTGGTGCACCGCGCGAAGAGGCATGTGCCCCCGCGCGGGCCGGCGGCGTGTAATCCTCTCTGGTCAGAGCCCAGTTGGATGCAAGTATGCCGCGTTGGCGGCCGCCTATCCAATCCAGCTCTGCGATTGCCTCGCGAGGATCGTCGGGGGCGCAGTGCTGAGCAAGACTCAGCACGTAGCCGGCTAGCCTTGTGTGCCGCTGATCACTGTGCGTGCAATTGCCGGTTGAAGTTTTTCGGGCCAGCCAGACATCTGCGCCTCATCTGTATATGACCTCCTGATGCGCGTCCTGCGGGCTCGCCTGTGCCCCGTTCTCCGGCTGCCTTTTTCTCTGGAGGCTTTAAACGCGGGCGCCTGGCTCGGTCTTCGCGCATGCAGTTGATGGAGGGAGAGCGGTGCCGATCGTCCATCGCCCCCCGCCTGTTCCTTTCTTCAGTTCTGTCGCGCGTTGAATGTAGGGTGGATACATGTATCTCTGTATATATACACGTGAGGACACAGACGTTATAGAATTGACACACATATATTTACACATGCATCGAGATATATATGTATATATATATATATGTATATATATATATATATATGTGTGTGTGTGTGTATGTAGCACCCCGTAGATGCGGATAAGAGTGAGTGGGCGGTGGGGACGTTGGCAGTTTGCGCGATTCTGGAGAAACCCGCCCCATGCGCCAACATTCCAAAAATTATACAGCGAACCCGCCGCAGGCGCCGATTTTGTTGTTACACCAATGTGGGTCGGTCGCGGGTGGGTTGCCCATCTGTCGCGGGTGGGTCGCGGGTGAATCGTTGTTGGGTCGCGGGTGGGTCGCGGGTGTAGAGGGCAGAAACTTCAGCCCATCAGAATCACCCCGACAAGCGACGCCGTTTAGTAAACGCACACAAGGAATGAATCGAACAAAGCAGGGCTGTTTAGTAAACGCCCAGGGCCGTGTAGGAAACGTCAATTGTCGGCTCCGGGTGGTTTTTACTCCCTTGAAGGTGGGTCGCGGTGTGGGTCGCGGGTGGGTCGCGGGGTGGGTCGCGGATGGGTCGCGGGGTGGGTCGCGGGTGGGTCGCGGGGTGGGTCGCAGGTGGGTCGCGGGTGGGTCGCGGGTGGGTCGCGGAATGGTCGCGGGTGGGTCGCGGGTGGGTCGCGGGTGGGTCGCCGGTTGGGTCGCGGGTAGGTCGCCGGGTGGGTCGCGGGGTGGGTCGCGGGTTGGGTCGCGAGGTGGGTCGCGAGGTGGGTCGCGGGTGGGTCGCGGGGCTGGACGACGTTAACAAACAACAACAACAAGAACAACAACAACAACAACAACATCATCAACAACAACAACAACAACCACAACAACAACAACAACACCAACACCAACAACAACAACAGCAACAACAACAACCACAACAACCACAACAACCACAACAACCACAACAACCACAACAACAACGACGACAACAACAGCACCATCAACAACAACAACAGCAACATCAACAGCAACAACAACGCAACAAACAGAGTTGCCACCACGAATTTTCCTATTCAGCCACGCGCCCAGGGACAATGAATGACCGTTCGGCCCCCTCAGTCTGTATGTGTGTGTGTGTGTATATATACAGATCTACGTAGCACCCCGCATGTGCGAATACGAATGAGGGTGCGGTGGGGACGTCGGCAGTTTGCGAGATTCTGGAGAAGCCCGCCCCAGGCGCCAAACATCCAACAAATTATACAGCGAACCCGCTGCAGGCGCCGATTTTGTTGTTACAGCAGTGTGGGTCAGTCGCGGGTGGGTCGCAAACGGGTCGCGGGTGGGTCGTGGGTGGATCGTTGTTGGGTCGCGGGTTGGTTGCGGGTGTAGAGGGCAGAATTTTCAGCCCATCAGGATCACCCCGACAAGCGAAACCGTTTAGTAAACGCACACA